AAAGATATATATAGACGATCGTGACTGACTGACTGACTGACGCTGATTCTAACCATGTTCCAGAAAGGTTAGTCTTGCAGTGTATAGGGTGTACCGAAAGTTTCATACCCACAACAATTAAGATGGATACGCGATTAACAGGACTATATTGATTTAAATATGTCATATACAGTATAGCCAAGAATATTCTACGTGCGAACTCTCACAGCGATTCTTGACTTCCGCGGACATGCAGAAACCCCGGATCAACGTTCCAAACTTCTCAACCAACCGAAGGATGATTCTCGTCACTCCAAGGAGAACCCCCTTTCATGACACGTCCGCTTTTCAGGGTGGAGGCAGACGCAGAAAACTCTGTTGGAACCTGTGCTGAATGTGTTCCAGAGGTTGAGGTTCGGGTAGTTTCTTGATTACTTCTTCTAGACTTGTACTCTACTCTGATGATACAGAACGCGAAGCCATCTGCTTGGCATGCGTCTCTGTTCGGCAACAGCATTGACTTTTCTTTCTCTGAGTAGATCACACCGATGTTCACGTGCTGTTTTAGATCGAAATTTCTCAATAATTTTCATCTCCTTCTCCCCTATGCTCAGAAAAAAAGACAAAGCGAGGAGAAGGTTGAGGAGATCCTAGGACTCTGACTCCCATTATTGGTCTGCCTGTCAAATCGGGACGCGATGGATGGAGAAAGCGGAGCAAAATACAAAAGAAGAGGAGAGGAGAAAATGCAAAAGAAACCCTTAGCCTTTCGTGCATAAATCAATAAAAATGCACTCACAAATGATGAAATACTTCTATCGAGGAGAATACTTCTTCGCGATGAGAAGACTGAGAGAATGTCCAAGATATAGCAAAATTCACTCCAGTTATGAGAGGAAACATCGAATTGAAGACATTTCATGATAGTCTAATGGCAAAAAGATAACAAGTTCATTGTTTTTTTCTCGTCATGACGGAATACTAGGTGATATGAAATCGTATGAAACAATTTTCAGCGTGGATGTCAGATATTAGAAAGCGTTTCATCATTTGTAACCCTCTTTGTATTCAGTAACTAGACAAAGTTTAGAGGTTGTGGCTTTGCTCGTTCTCGCATTTCCTTTTTCCGCTTTTTACACTGAATATTTTTTAAGTGCATTACTCACCAGCATTGAGTAAATATCCGCTCCATCCATCGAAAAACCTATCTAGGAACAAAAGGATAGAAATCAATACTGTTTGAACAATGTTTGTGAAATTCCTTGACGCGAAGGGTCGGGGTCACCATGAAAGAATTGCAATCCACAACTAGAAAAAGACGACGTCCACGAATGTGCGATGCTAGAGGTGTATTAATTAGGAGGAGAAGGAGCGTATGTAGACGGTACGATTCTATATCCTGTAAAGCTATTACAAGCTAGGTATACAATGACTGCGAGTGAGGATTCCGCTCTTTCATTTGCCTTCCACATTTGGAAGGCCCACCGATTGGAGTTTGTCACTCCTGATATAGGGTATCACAGCTGCAGATTTCGTTATCTGGGCCCAGTCGATAGGCAATCTCAGGGGGGATTCGCGGTTCAGGTGCCATCCTGTAATCGACGCAATGCCGTCGATACGATACCTCGTAGACGAAATCGTGAGCCCTACGTCCTTGGTTGCTTCTCGATTCGTCCACGCAATCCAAGCCCTCGCGAGTAGAATCAGCCGGGATCCAAGTCCGGTGCAAGCGAAATTCCGATTCACGAGCGAAACTTCCAAGGACATACAACGTCGAAGAAATATCATTGCTGCATCTTCTCAGGATGAAAGATTGCTCCAGAAATTCTTGAATCGAAACAAAAAAGTTTTGCCGTTTCCAAAACGTGCACCAGAATTGAACCCCAGCAGTTTCTTTTCGTTCGCACATCAAAAGTCGACCTCAGTGGAATCGACGAGACAGCGGGAAGGACTTAAAAAAGGCTTCCAGCAATTGGTTCAAGTTGCAACCCAAAGAACGGAATATGAGAGATGAATGAAATTGCAGGAAAAGTACGTCTTGCTTAAGAAGTAGTGGCGAATGTTGGGCAAACCGAAGTGGCATATACGTGTATCGGCTCTGACTCGAACGTTTAGTATCTCGAATCCCTCACAACTCTACGTGAAGGCAGAGATCAGAGCGACGAATGAAAGAGACTTCCTCTTCACCCTTCCCCCCTTCCCTATCCCCGGGGTCGGAACGAGACCGGGATGAAACTGAAGATCGCGACTTGCCTTGCCGCAGACGAAATCCTTCTCGTGCATGCACCTGCAGATGAAGAGGGGCAAGCCCATTGCCGTGCGTCCTCCCAGAAGGGCCCCATCTGGGACCGACCCCCCGGATGCTGCCACCCAGTCCAGGTATCTCTCGGTGCCATTCGCCAGTACCTGAGGACGTCAGACGGAAAGCAGAGACGACAAAAAATTAACGAGAAATCTCTTCGTTTCGCCGTTGCTACGCCGTTGGAGTTATTCTTAGCATAAGGTCTCTGTCTCCTCGCATCGGAAAGCCCAAGAGGCAATGGCGTATTTTACAGGGGGGCAGGGGGGGCAGCCGCCCCCTCTGACCCTTCAGCCAAAATACGCCACTGCCAAGAGGTTTTCCCAAGAGGGTGCGAAATTGTATTTTCTCGTAAGATGCCATTGTGTGCGATGGTTACTCGTAGTACATGCTATTTTTTACTTGTCTCGTGAATTTCCTCAGGGACCGTTCTGGCCCATGTCATAAAAGTCTCCTTCGGGGAAAGTAGGGAGAGGGAGAGGGAGAGGGAGAGGGAGAGGGCTGGCACGCGTTCGTCAACTAAAACGCTTAAAAACGCCATGCCCGTCACACGACGTGGGGAGTTAACGGCTCGTCCGAGTCGCCAGGACGGAAAACGATTCGACGTCGGTTAAAGATTCCAGTCGTTTCGAGCCGGAACGATGAGGAATCCCTGGTTCGAGGAACGAAATGTTTCAGAATGGAAAGTTTCGCATCCGGCGGAAATTCCGCTGGGTCCATGCATTGCCCAAAAAACAAGGAAATAAATAATATTAATTATTATGGCACTCTCTCCACATCGATCAAAATCAGAGTGAAAAGCGGAAGGAGGGTCTCGCGTGATATCGCTTCAATGCGTCAATGATAATAATAATTATTGCACTATTAAAGAATTCATTGAAATCACCCCGAAATAAGTACTCTTGGTAGTACCTGGGACGACTCTCTCGTTCATTTCTCGCCGGTCGGGTCAAAGAATCGTTCGACTCTCGAAGGACGTCAAAAATTCTTTGCGATCCTCTCCCTCGGATTTCCCTCGGCGCAGGAATGCTCGACGCGGCAGCGACGCGTGCGACATCTGCACGAGGGACGAGTAACTGCCTCTTCCAGCGAATTTTCCTCTAGCCTCTAGCCAAATCGTCTCAGGCTAAATTTGATGCCCAGAGTCGTGGGTTCGATCCTCGCCCACGATCTCGCTTTCCCCCCCTTTTTTTCTTTCACTTCGACGGAGTCTTGATTATCACGTCTCATCTTCGCGATGGAAACAGGAACAAGATAGAAATATGAGATGTACGCGGCGATTTGAGGTCATCCCTCCATTTCTTATCCGTTCGCGCGAGGAAAAAATTCTCTCTGAAAAAGGACTTGTAATTTCTTCCCACCGCTTTCGCTCTCTTGGGTTTCGATACGCTGACACTTTAGGGACAATGGAGGGAAGGACCATAACATTAATGCGTTACCAGTTACGAGCCACTAACAATTTCCTCGAGCGTCGCTCCAATTTTTTCTTTTCCTAGTGAAGATAATACAGGCTATTAGCTTAGCTTGCTTTATTTCCGAAATCGACTTTCGCTCACCACTAGATGGAAAAAGTAAGGGAACCGGAGATAACTCCAGATTTATCTGCAGACGCGAGAGAGCGTAAATGCAAACCCCAGCTCGAGTGGCGCACGTTTCCAGGGAGCTATCAGGCCTGCTGCGCTGCTGCTATCCGCTCGAGTTCCCCGTGAATGAGTCAAGCCGAATGGTCACGTGTGGGGCGGAAGGCACCATGATGACACAACCTTCGTTCCTGTTGTCACGTGACTGTCAGTTTGGCAGTGAGATCGAGGCATGAAAGGTTTGCATCGTACGTTCGATATATTTCATGGCTCTTCACGTTCGTTCTTGCCTAAAATCGCAATTTATTGGCGAATATATTTCCGATTTCGTGCAACTTGGATTCGGCAACCCTGTTGTTCGATTCCATGACGTCACCCACACCGCTCCGCTCATGGCTCCGCAGCTCTCTTGCTCTCTGGTGGCGACAGTACCAAGAGGGACTTGACCTCGGCTTCATACGGATCATACTGCGATTCCGGTGTTTTCTTTCTAACCCTATATGCTTCAGCTTGCTCCGGGAAAAGCCAAACCCGCATCGAAGAGAAAGAGGCCTATCGTAACGAAAGGCCTTTGCCGCTGCTTCTCGGCGTTTCTTGTTCGTGCTCTTGTAATAGTACTCCTTGTTTGATTGCGGCGTAATTACTTACTCAGACGTTTACGTTAAGTCAAACCGTGCATATGAGGCTTAATGGTTGCACTGTGAGGTCTTATTGTGCTCGGGATAAATATATATTGCCTTGACTGAATAGGTTTAGACCCACGCCCTAAATGCATTTGCAAGCATAGGATTTGGTTGGCAATAATTGAAGAATCTAAGTAAAATATTAATTGGCTCATCAATTACATTCCCTTCCTAATTTCCCATCATGCAGCAGGCCTGCTCATGTCTGCCCTGGACCATACCAGACACTAGTGAAGGGGATTATAGTCCATTCCTCTTCTGCAATGCTTCCAAAATTATTTTTTGTGGTTAAATTCAGCTTACAGAATACAAAATTATGTATCCATAGAAGAACCAGAAGAATGGCTCACCATTGTGGAAAAAGTGCTGAATTAAGAAGGCTTTATTTGGTTGCACAACACTTGCTACATCTGTTAAATTTTTAAGGTAATACTGTGACTTGCAAATTATTGGAAAGAAGAGACATGCCCCTTAGGAGGGGTAAATATATACAGTATTGTTCAGAGTTCCTCAGTTCATGGCTTTAGTGTTTCAGCTTGGAGTCAGGAAAGTGAGGAGCAGTTTTTTGCAATTTTTTTTTACAATCTTGTATTTTCTTTGCTGCTTCAGTATGTGGTGATTCAGAAGTTATAAGGAGAGGTGAAAGAATTAAAAGAGGAAGTCTTTTGTCTTTTCCTTATATGCACCATCCTGTTGGTTTTTTTTCTAGGCAACCTTTAACTGAACACAGGCTAGGAAAACCCTTGTGAACCTATGAACAAGGTTTGCGGGAATAGAGACGTGCAGTCGGACGGCTCACTTAGTTCTCCTCCATATTCTTCCTGGAAAATTCCAATTTGTTGCCTCAGATTTGCAGGAAAAAATTGTTTTTCCTACTCTGGCTGAACATGAAACAGAATGTTCCTCATTCGCTTGGTTCTTTTTTTGTTTTTTTCCGCACAAGTCAGACATATTTTGTTTGATTTTAATATTAGTGCATGTGAAACATCCCATGCACAAGTTTCTCAGTCAAGTGGAAGACACTACTAATATTTTTTCAGCTGTCTTTGAATAATTTTAATTTTATATACCTGTATTGCTGCTCATTTAGTATGCCATATGCATCCTTCTAGTACCTTCTACTAAAGGCATCTAGCCCAAAAGCCTGACTGTAACCTGTGTCTTCTTTTGGGCCATTCTGATTACCAAGTATGATTTTATTCCTACCAGCCAATGCTGTTGCCCATCATAACAGAGAAAGAATGGAGAACCATATGAAAATACCAAATTAAGTAGGCCTTATAGGAATCCATTTCCTAATTGTTTTAGGGCTTCATGGTGGCTGTTTCATAATCTTCAGTATATTGACCTGAACTACCTATGATATACTGATGCATCAGGGGTGGGACAATGGCAGGTATGGCAGTGGATTCAGTCATCTTTCTTCTCTGGGTGGCATGTGACAATTGTGATTTGGAATGAAGCTTTCATGTTACTCCAACTGTCAATAGTGACATCAATGTGTCAATGCATCATGGCAGTCTTAATTTTTTTTCCTTCTGTTGCTGAGCCACATTCACATGCTTCTTTTTTTTATATTCTAATTTGGCATGTTCCTTGGGCATCAACATCAGCAACTTGCAAACCTAATAATGACTAATGGTGCCACACTGGCAGCCAATACTGGTGGTTCCTGATGCCCTAATCTCATTCCCTCTCATATTTTTTTAACTTCTTGTTTTCTTTCCTTGTTACTGGCCAGGTCTGACTTTACTTCTTATTTCGATTTTCCATATTGGTTCCCTTTTTTGTATAAATGCGTTTATTTAAGCCTATCATTGTTCTACCATAAGTGATTGCTTTGTGTGCTTTGAGATATGAAATTCAATTTTACTTTTCCAGGATTTCAAAAGGCAGTGGAAGCAGCTTAGCCTAAGTTGGGCCTGAGTTTTAGAGAAGGAAAAGAGAAAGATGATAGATGGTGTGAGTGCTGGGGGGGCCTATGGGGCTGGGAAAGCAGGGCTTCCATTCAACCCTCTGGTCTTCTTACAGAAACCTCAGACGATTGTCAGGATATTGAGCTGGGCAAGTTCACAGTCTCTTATCTGTTTGTCTGTTCCTCTTTCACTGGTGTTTACTCTCCACTCACTCTTTACTTGCCATATTGCAGCTGTTTGCAATCATCGTCTTTGGATGTGTGTCATCTGGAGGCCAAGATGGGGATGAATGTGCTTACAATAAGGATACCAATGCCTGCAACTATGGCATCGGAATTGGTGTGATTGCATTCCTGGCTGCATCTTTATTTCTTGCTGGTGATGCCATGTTTGAGCAGTTTTCCAGCATCAAGACTAGGAGGCACTTTGTCATCATTGACCTCGGTTTCTCTGGTTTGTTTCCTGAATGACTCATTGGGCTTTGTGGTAATCTTTTGGTTGCTGTTTTCACTGGGATGATTCTTTCTTTGTGTGGTAGCTCTCTGGTCTTTTTTGTACTTTGTGGGATTTTGCTACCTGGCCAATGCATGGTCAAAGTCTACTCCAACTCCTGACTTTCCTGGAACTAACAATGTTCAGGCTGCCATTGCATTCTCATTCTTCTCCATTTTCACTTGGGTGAGTTGCTTCTATTTGGCCTATTGCCTGCAAAGTTTTGTTGATGGGCTGCAAGGAGATTAACTGACTTATTTTTCTCTGTCCTTTACTTCTAGGGTGGAAGTACCTTCTTTGCATTCCAGCGATACAAGCAGGGAGCTGACAGCGCATTTGGCACAAACTATGATGGAGAACCGGGGATGATGCCTCCTACCGCTCCCTATGCGTATCCTGGGGCACCTGATCCTGCTGGAGGATACCAAGATCCCCCTTTCTCTGATCAGAATAAAGGTCTTTTCATTGTATCTGGACTTTTGGGCTAGAGAATGCTAAGCCAGAGCTGGCTGTTTCTCTTTACTGTAATTTAATGTTGAGTCAATTTTGTGTCCTTTACGTTCACAGTAGGACTGCTTGATACGTAGGCTCTCACTCGACCATGATTTCCAAGATGCTTGACTGAAAAACCACTTTTTTTTACAGGTTCATCAGGCCTTGGTGGGATGCCAGCATTCCAGCCTCCCAATTACTGATGGAATCATGTCAGTTCTCACCTGGAAAAATGTAGCCTAGATGTACTCCTGGCTTCTACGTCACTATTGAAGAACTTTGTCAGTATTCTAGTTTGTTTCCTCAGCCAATGGTGTCACAGCAAGGGATAATGCTGGTTTTTTAAATTTAAATTCATGAGCTTGTGATTTGCTGTTTTCTTCAATTATATATTCTTAAGCCTGTTCAGGGAAATATGTCATGCATCATGGTAATCACCCATTTTTTGTTTGCAGTTGTGGTTAGGGCAGCATCTGATGAAACACAGAGTGCCACGCAATAATTGTGGTTCTCATTCATATCGCACTGTTTGTTGTTGGAGTGTCTGTTATTTCTTTGTTACCAAATTTTTAATGGAGCTGTTAGCTGTAGGGCAGATTAGGTCTGCCATGTGCCAATTTGTCACCTTGGTCTTAATGACACTGATGAAGGTTGAAAATTGCCTGGTGTGCTCATGTTGCCACCCCCTTGGTTTGTGTGCTGATGAGTGTATGCTTGTATGTTACTCCTGTGTGTATGTTCGTGAGTAGTGTGCATTGGGATCCTCTTCCAAATCCCGTAGCACCATGGAGGGAGCATCATTTCCCTGTAGTCTAATTATTCTAGTTTCAGTGGGCCTGTGGGCATTTATATACCATGTTGATTCCTTCAAGATTCAGTTTCTTTGGAAATGCCCAAAAGTGCTCTGTAACACTCAGTGAGGATGGCAGAAAAAGTAGGAAAGAGATTTTGCAGCATTTGCTATCATTTTCTCTGACTCTGAACTCCTCTCAAAGGTGTTGAATTATTTGGGCCTGACATCATGAGTAGAATCAGCTGTTCCAAATCACCTGTCTTTGGAACAGAAGGCAATGAACAAAATTTGGTTTCTAGAACGGTTACAAGTTCAACTCAATGTCTGGACAGAATGAAACTTTTGTTGCAATCATTCCAAAGGCTTGGTATTTGCCACATTTGGCATATTACAGTATATATCAAATAACATACTTCATAGCTCAATTATGGTAATAGCTCTGCTTAGGTACTCCTCAGAGTAGAGACATGATGGTGCATTGTAGATGCAATAACCTTCCTCCGTGTTGTATCATAGCATATTCGACCATTGTGCACAGCGTACAGTGTCGTGTTTGGTGTCGCACCGATCTTCGCTCATCGGAAGCCAAAAAAAAGTCTGTCTAGTCACTAGTGTCAGTGAGGATCACACGTTGCACATTCCCTTGCAATAAGCAAGCAAAGTTTGCTGTTTTAGCATCTGAGTCGATTGCAGTTGAGTTCATTGTGATACGTGCTGGACCGAGACGGAACGGGGCGGTCGGTCCGCATCATACATGTGATGAGTTCTTCCTAGCCGTGGTCTCAGTCGTTGGGGTGTCTCGGCTCGATCTCCGTCTCGTGTAGGGCATGCCGGTTTCTGTTTACTTCCTTCGAAAAATGGATTATGGCTGTGAGCCACCACTGATCACTTGTCTTTTGTTTTATTGAGAGTCATAAATATGAGAATAAATGTCTGTTTTATGACCAATTCCTTTCTCCGTGTTGTCTCAAATGTGGGATTCATTCACACAAAAAGGGATTTGTGCTTGTCAGCCTTGGTCTCCTTGATGCTCCTTGCTGGTTTCTTGTGCATGCTTCTCTTGAGCCAAGTCCATAAAGGGCAACATGGAGTTGCTTTTCATAATGGGACTTGTTTAGTCAAGTGGAACCTGTTCCATTAGAAACTCATAATCCAATTCCATGAAAGGTATCAAGCAACAATGTCTTTGTGGTTAAGTCAGAGTGAGCTTTCTCAGGATGTACAGGGTGGGCCAAAAAAAAAAAATCACTTTTGGTAAGTTGTCAATCCGATTGTAGGTTGCCGATGCTGATAAAATTTGGTAGGCAGATAGGGTGACTCAATTAGGGTTTGTTTGCCAAGTTTCAAATAAAAATTCCAAAAACTGAGATTGAATTTAACTTACTTTTCATCATAAAAATTTTATATGTTCATGTTCTCTTTCAGCTTAAAATTTTTCACGACCGACAAAAACAAAATGCCCATATGTCAAAAACGAAAGCACACAATTTGGTTCATTTCAATTGAAAAGGTGCTCAATATACCCTCCATTCTGTTGAACATCTGCCTCTATTCTGGAACACCACAGATGAGTGGCTCGGTGAATAAACCTTTCGTCACTCGTCCACCCAACCCTGAATCGACAGGATCGCGAAGATCGACCAATTTTATTTGCATCCGTCTGACCCCAAAGGTTTCGTGAACGACCAACGCGCCTGCCAAGAAGCGGCACGAAGGCACAAGGAAGGCGGCTCGAACCATCAGACGGCCCACCCTGTACATCCTGAG